CTTACTTGAGCACTAAGACATTAGCTTCCTGTTTTCCCAAAGAAAAGCAAGGACTTTTTTGTCCTGGTGCATCAGAGTCCTGTTAAGTCTCATATAGGAAGTTAATCTTTCTAGAGCAATAGTTCTCAACCTTCCTAATGCTATGACCCTTTAATACAGTTCTTCCTGTTGTGCTGGCCCCCATAAAAGTATTTTTGTTTCTACTTCATAACTGTAATTTTGCTACTGTTATGAATCATATTTTTGAAGATAGAGGTTTATTAAAGGTGTCGTGACTCACAGGTTGAGAGCCACTCTTCTAAATGCTAAGCTTTATCCTTTTGAGAAGCCTTGTAGTATGGCACAAAGAACATGGACTTTTGCAAAGCTAAATTATCTGGGCTTCTTGAACGAGCAGGATGACTCAGCTCTCTCTCTCTCTTCACTTTCAAACCATCAGTGCTCCTCAGAAGCACTTTGCAGGGAGGCTATGATGGAGTGTACTGTGGGTAGAAAATGCCTCATGTCAACTTAGTGATGGCAACCAGGGTTAGGAAGTATAATGTCTAGACTTTGAGCCCAGGAACTCCTGCATCAAAAAGTTCAGGTAGGTTCTGTGCTTCATCACAAAGGTTCTGAAACGACGGGATTCCATTTTCTCTTAACTAAAACTCCATAAGGGAGGAAGAAGCAACACAGTAAAGAAACAAATGGATAGAAAAGAAGAAACATGCTAATTTGTTTGGAGACACAGCATCTGTGACAGCTGACACCAATTCCAGGCCTTTTCACTATGAATACTGAGCATATTTCCTGTGAGGTTGCATCTGGTTTTTCTGGAAGCATTCACTGATTACCACTATGGCCCCAACTTGGGTGTAGGTGCTTCCTGTTAGTTAAAATGCATGATCCAAGCCAGGCAGTGGTAGTGCATGCCTTTAAGCTCAACATTTTGGAGGCAGAGGCAGGTGGATCTCTGAGTTAGAGGCCAGCCAAGGCTACACCAAGAAAGCCTGTCTCAAAAAGGCGGGGGCATGATCCATGACTTGAAGGAGTTTATGGCCTAGTAGAAAGGCAGAAGCTGCACCAGACAACCAATTAGGGAAAATGACACAACATAGTATATAAACCACTGACAGTGATGGAGCTAAAACCAAGTGTATCACCATCTCTGGCTGCCATAACAAAATGCCATAGGATGCCATGGCATAAACAACAGGAATTTGTTTACTTACAGTTCTGGGGGCTGGGAGTCTAAGATCAAGATGCCAGCATAGTCAGCTTGCCCTCTAGCTTACAGATAGCTGCCTTCCCAGTGCATGTTCCCATGGCCTTTCCTCGGTGCTATGTGGCAGAGTCCTCTCTGCTCTCTCTTCTTATAAGGACATACATTTGTTTCTGAAGACAGGGTCTTACTATGCAGACCATGCTGGCATGATCTCAGAAATCTACCTGCCTTTGCCTCCTGAATGCTGGGATTAAAGGTTAATGGCATTCTCAGATCACACACCCCTTATTAACCTCCTTAGCCATCCTTACTTCCATACTCTAAAAGTGGATGTACAAAGAATTAGGACATATGAATTCAGCAGCCAGGTACACGGGGATATAAATCAAGTCCACAGCAGTGTGTGTGTGTGTGTGTGTGTGTGTGTGTGTGTGTGTGTGCTCACTTTGGGGTTTTATAGAGAAAAGATCAGAGAGGGCAGTACCACCGAAACCAGAAAGAACAGGAGAGGGGCTTTTATGATCATCTAGATTGCTGATGAATTTTAGAGTTAGAAACAACAAAGCTTGGTAGTAAATACGAGAATGAAAGAGTAGGAAGTGTCACCAAGGATCCCAGTCATCCAATTGGGCAAGTGGGTGAACAGATGATTAATGGGGGTTGTGAGGTGAGGATGGGGAGGAATCAGGGCAACTTGATTGGCTTCCTTTCCATTTCTAATGTAGAACCCATCCTTTTTGTCATTTACTTTTGAGCAACACAACTTGAAACATGTTCCCCCTGCCTCAAATACCAGTGTTTACACATGTACACATACAGACATTCCCAAAGCTCACAGGTTCATAAATATTTGCAAAGTCCACAGGCTCCTCTGTATACTTGGACCCTCATCTGTTCTTCCCACTTTACTAGTCGAGTGTCTTCCCTGAACCATAGTTCCAGCCATACCTTTGACCAAGACGATCCTTTCTGGGAACAGTCTTCTATTTGATTGTTCAGTGAAACTCTGCTCTTCATTCCCTTCAGGCTCCAACTCCCGTGTCCTCTGTAAAACTCATCCCACACATCCAACCCCTCAACAGCTTATCATTCTTTTCTCTGAGTTCTTATAGTTCCCGACACACAAAAAAAGACCTTGATATATGGCAGTGCAATCCACACACTTACCTTTCTCCACAGCTGGCCTAGACTGAAGGACAAAAATTGTCAGATGCTTCCCTCCACCCCCACACCATCCATACAACAATGCATGAAAACAAGGAGGTGCTCCAAGAAGCGTGGTGACTCACAAGCAGTCACGGAGGGATTGCTTTGTGCCTATCACTCTTCAAGGCTTCTTTAATATATTTACTCATCTGATCCTCCCAGCACCTCTATTATCGTCCCCATTTCACAGATGGCTTGCCCAAGCTGACAGAATGAATAAGTGGCAGAGCCAGTGTTCTTAACTCCTGAGCCATCTCTCTTGCCTCTGATGTTGCTTTTGAGATCTATCCATATAGATCTAGTTCTGTTTGCTCAACAGCTTGGTAGTATCTCATTGTAAGACTATTCTGTGTTCTCTTTTTCTCTCCACATCTTTGTGGACCTATGGACTGGTCCTGAATTTTTGGCCACCTCAGTCCATCACAGTGAATATTGGGTTTTGTGCTTCCTTTTGCATGTGCATTTCTGAAGACCACAGATTTGCTAATGAATTGCAGAGGATCTTTGCCTTGTCTGTTTTGCTAGCGTAAGGAAGTTGACAGAGGCAAGGGAGTACAGTGCCTAAGAGCAGGATTTGATATACCGAATTCAAATCACTAGAGTCTAGGTCTCTGAGAAATTGTTTGACCTTGTTTTCCCCACCTGTAAAATGAGAAAGAAATACCTGATAGAGTCAATTGTGAATTAAATGGGACCAAATATTTCACACAGGTTAGTAGCCCAAATGTGTTAAGCTATATTTTTTTGAGGGAGGGTCTCATTGTGTAGCCCTGGTTAACCTACAACTCACTATGTAGACTAGGCTGGCCTCAAACTCACAGAGATCCACCTGCCTCTGCCTCCTGGGTGCTGGGATTAAAAGCATGTGCTACCATGCCCAGCCTATTTCATTTTACTGTTTTATTGCACAGTTCTCCAGGAAATTTGAAACTAGGCCTTTGGCAATATATACATATATATATATATATGTACATATATATGAAAAGTACTATGAATAAATTTGCCAAACTGCTCACCATTGTTTGAAATGTGAATGATCGTTTTTCTTTGTGTTTTAAAAATACTTGCCCAGTTCTCTACAAATGGAATGTATTACTTTTATAATTAGAAAACAAGAGTAATAAGTATAATTTTTAATAAGGAGAAAATAAAGAATCAGATTTTTTAAAAATAAAATAATGAATTTTCCTTCTGGTGATCAGGAACACTGCGACAGTGAAAGGTTTATTAAAGCAACATTATAGAAGTTTAAAAACAGCCTGCATGCTTGTTCACCAGTAGAGGATTGATTAAGTCTAATACATTGCGAAAGGATCTCCAAGATAATATTTGAAATGAAAAAGGCAAATACAGGCATAGAGTATGTTACAATATTGTGTTAAAATGTTATCTTTCTGCTTACGTATCCAGGCTCTCTCTCCAAATGAGGTGGGGAGAGAATTGTTTAAAAAAATTAGATATCTAGGACATAATAGAATCATATTCCCTTACTAAATATCTTTTTCTTCTGGTGGAACTTTTTACTTACATAACTATTTTAAAGAATCTTATGCTAAAAACTAATGGCTTTTTATAATGGCTGTCAATACCTTAGCAGGAATCAATCTGGCTTCTGAAGCCAGGGAAGGCAGGCTAACTCAGGAGCCTGACTCCCCCAGCATCTAGCCCTTGAGCCTAGACTTGTGTCCGTTCTGCTGACCCCATTCCCAATGCAAGAATGACTCACATGGACCAGGCCCAGAAGGATGGCAAGTGATTCTCGGAGAGTATAATAACCCAAGTGAGGAAGTGCATGTGGGTGTATTTCTATGCAACTGAAAAGAATCGATCATCTGAAGGCAGGTAGGTGGAGGGCGAAGAGGTACAGCCAGAGAGCGTATGGAAGCCAGTCTCTGAAGCCAGCCTAGTGAGTCATGCTAAGGAGCTTAGACCCTACTGTCAAAGACATGCTGTCACTAAGCGGTTTACTGTAGGAGAATGACACGCTTTTATTTGTACTTTGGAGAGTTTACCCGGCTGCTGCATAAAGGATAAATTGGAGAGGGAGGTAACTGAAGACAGGAAGAGGGGCTCCAACACTGTTAAGAGATGATGGCCTGAATCAAAAATGTGAGCTGGGATTTGAGGCCAGGCCTTCCTAGCTCCAAAGATCAAATGTTATTTCTCTGTCCAACACACTGTCTAAAGAAATGAACAATGAATCTCCTGTGTACAGCTTTTCCCACAGTAAAAACCAGAAATATTACCAGCAGATATGTGTCTTCATCTGCACTGAGACAAAAACGCTACCTCCTAATAAAGCCTACGGATTCATAGAGGCGATGCCATTTTAAGGACGAAACCCCAACATATAGGCTGTTTACCTTTCTGCTTTGGTTATTTTTGTCCAGAATTCTTGCTTCCAACATCTTCGGGAAACAGGAAATTTGCATCTTTCCTTGTTCTTTAAATATTTATTAGTAGTATAAATTACCCAGTAGACTTCTCACTTTGAATATTCGAACATTTACGAAACTATATCATCTATGAATTTCCATTTTCTAAAAAAGGACTGGAATAGGAGTAATACAAACATTGTAATTCCTACCTTTCATCCCGGGAGGATCCAGCCGGCAATTCAATTGTCAAGAATGTCTCAGAGTCAGTGTGAAGAGCCTGACTATCACAGGCTTCTAGTACAAAGAGCGTAGTCTCTTCATGTTGTTTCTCCAGTAGCTGCTCACAAAGAGACGAACAGATAGAGGGCAGAGGACTATTGTAGTATTCCAGCTAGATTCTTCTGGTCCTGTGACATTCCTGGTACCAGGCTGCATGCCTGTCTTTCCCCTCTTTCTTCTATAAGAAACATACAGAATAGCAAAGCTGAGAAATTTGCTCAATGGGAATATTTTTAGGGAAAAGGTTAAAAATAAATTATGTAGTGACCCTTTAATTGTTTGGCCATACTGGAAGGCATGCAGTGCTTGAACTAGAGCCTTGTGCTTGCAGGAAAGCACTCTATCACTGACCTACGCCCCTTCTTTAGTTTTTTAAAACAGTGTTATTAATATACAATTCGTGTACCCTACCAGCAACCCACTGAAAATGTGAAGTCAGCCAGCGATGGTGGTGCATACCTCTAGTTCCAGCATTCAGGAGGCTAAGATAAGAGAATTGTGAAGCTAGCTTGGGTTACATAGCAAGTTCAAGGCTAGCCTAGGCTATGTAATGAAATCCTATATTGGGTTTGAGAAGAGAGAGAAACAAAAGAATTTTATACACAAAGTTTTACAACCATTACCACTACCTAATTTCAGTACTTTATCCTGTGAAAGAAATTCCAACTCCTCTAGCTGTTAAGCTCCTGCCATCCAACTTGTCTACTTTCTGCCTCTCCAAACTTGTCTATTCTGGACATTTCCTATAAATGGAGCCTCACAGTGTTCTTTTACTGCTGGTCACTTTCACTTAACATGTCCCTTCTATTTCTTATTGTATAGGAGCTCTCTGAGCCAGTAGTTTGTGGTTTGGGTTATCACAATGTTTCGTATATTTTGGACAACTGAAGGAATTTGTCTGAAACGGAAGAGAAGCCAACATGAACACAACCCGGAATGAATGAGATTGTAGCCATCCTCGTCGTTGGCACGCACATACTTATGCTGAGCCAAAGATCTGTCTTAATAGGATGCAGGCCCAAGTTGTGTTTTGTGACCTTCTCTTGGCACTAGTCTCGTCCAGAAGAGCCTGTGGGTGCTGGTATAGCCGGGTGAGGCAAGTGCCTCCTAGCTTTGTCTCTGGCTTAGGCAGAGTTTGGGTGCAATTCCTCATCTTCAGACGTCTGAAAGAAGTTATGTCGGGGATCTCCTGGTTCCATTTGTTCTGTTTGCCAGTGGGCCGAGCACACCACACTGTGCAGACAGGTTAGACAGTTTATTGTAGGCTGGTGAAAGCAGATTAAAAAACCATCAGCTTGGTGGGAACCTTGCTAAGAATCCAATCCAAATGTCAGATGAAATATTTACACATCCAGGAGATAAACCAAGGGAAACAGTGTGCCCTTTGTGTGTGCCTCTGAGTGTTGCAGGCACACACAGAGCCACCGACCATTTGTCAACTTCCAAGATTTATTCTGCTGCTCCTGGCAAGGGACAGCCTAATGATTTAATAGCTTGTCAACACCTACACAGAGAAACAAGGACTGGCACTTCCTCATTTCTTATTTTCTTTGCTTTAAATAGGAATTCCTATTCGAAGTCATTGGAACCTGGAAATCAGACTGTCAGGTTTCCCTTGACTTGAGTGCACAGTTCCTGAATCTGAGCATGATAAATGTTATAACTTTCCCATTATACAAACACGCGGTCGGCACCCTTTTAGAAGAGCCATTGAGTTCATGTCCTAAAAGCTCGAGTGTTTGCTCCAGACCGTTGCCATGCGCCAGATCCAAATGGAGGGCAACTGTTTTGTTTCTGTCCCATGAACCTCTTGAGTTGAATGCTGCTTGATCAATCTCGTGCCTGGTTGTCACATGTCCATCTGAGATGGACCACTCTGTTAAGGACTTTAGTGGGGAAGGAGACTAGATTTCTTGTGCGGAGTAGTGTTTTTCAAGAACCCTTGAATAAATGAACGTTCCCTGATATTAGAGACCTTGTATCTCTTTAGCTCAGCAGATCCCACAGTGTCTAGTTCAGTATCTGAGCCACTGTCAACTTTAGCTCATGTTCAGACAACGCAGCCATGATCTATGAAGAGAATGACAAATTAACCAGAGTTATATTTTATATTCAAACAGCACCTTAGGTGTCCTTGGCCTTTATCCCAAAAAGATAGTATGGCGGTGGAATTCACAACTGTACATATGTGTTTTAATATGCACCTCATTAACTTGTTGATGCAAATTCTTATTCATTAAGTTTAAGATGGAGCCTGAGATGATATTCTCCTGGGTGATATATTGTCACTGCTCTAGGGACCATATTTTGAATAACGAGGGAGTAGAGATCTATTATTCAATAGTCTCACTACTAGGCACTTGTTGATAGTAAGCATTTGATATATGCCTAATGCACTTCAGATTTCAAAGCCTTAGTAAAAACATCAAATACTCTATTCATCATTTTGGATTCATTGTATGCTAAATTGAAAAAATTTTGAGTGTACTAAATAAGATATATTCTTGATCAGGGGTGGGAGTATATCCTTTAATCCTAGTGCTCAGAAAGTGGAAGCAGGAGGATAAGAAGTTTGAAGGCATCCTCAACTACATATCAAGATGCAGACCAGCCTGGGTTATATGAGACCTTGTCACAAAAAAACTAATCCTACCAAATAGCACTGGTTTAAAGCAGGGATTAGCAAACATTTTCAATTAAGGGATGGATCACAAAACTTATGGTTTTTCAACCATATAGTCTCTGTTCCAACTTCTCATTCCCATCGCTGCTACACAAAAGCAGCTGTAAACAGTGTGCATGTGAATGGGTATGTTTGTTCCAATCAAATTTGACTTACAATAACAGGTTGAAGCTGGGTGTCTTTGCAAGTTCTATAATCCCAGCACTTGGGAGGCTGAAGCAAGGGATCCCTTATGTCCATGAGTTCTAGACTAGCTTGAGGAACATAGTGAAATGCTATCTTAAAAAAAAAAAAAAAGTTGAAGCCGTACCTTAAAAGCAAACAACCTACAATCATGGTGAACACCAATAGCTTTATATTTACCAGAAAGGGAAAAAGATAGCATTAGAACCCCTTTAGGGCCTCATTCTCAAATAATTACTTGGCATTTTTAGTGGTTCCTTCAAAGGCCCCAATTACAAGAATTTCTTTATAGATCTAATTCAGGAGCACAAACAACATGAAAAAGATTTGCTTGTAACATTTGTTGAAACCAATCAGAGGAATCCTATGGGATGGCTCATCAGATAAAGGCACTTGTTGCCAGGCTTCATGACCCAAGTTCAAAACCCAGGACTGACATGACAGAAGAAGAGAATCAACTCCCCAAAATCCTCTGCCCTTCATACATGTACAGTGGAGTGCATGCACACACAAAAAAAATATTAACAACTGACTACTACTAATACTTACTAATCCTAAGAATACATATATACTCTTTAGCTAGCCACTAAACTAACCAAGCAAAGACTTCAGTGAACACATAAGAATGTATAGTCAATACACAGGAGAAGGCGAATAAATCCACATACTTTCCTGCAAACATACACTTAACTTAGTAGATCAAAACTTTAAATTCGGTATTTAAAGATTTAATCTTATTATTTTGTACTTGTACACATATGTGTATGGGCCTGCATATCTGTATGTCCAGCACATGCATGCAGACGCCTTTGGAGTCCCGGAAGAGGGTGTCAGATTCCATGGAACTGGAGTTACAGGGAGTTGTGGGCACTGTAAACTGAACCAGGTCCTCTGCAAGAACAGCAAGTGCACTTAACTTCTGAGCCATCTCTTCAGCCCATAAATTAGACATTTAAATATGTGCAAAAAATTAAAAGTATAAGAAACATATCTTACTAAATAAAGGACTGACTGGGTCAGAAATTGTTTATTTAAGTAACCACATGATAGAAATTCTACAGTCAACAAGTACACCACTTGTAATCAAAATTCGCTAACATGACTCCCAGCAAATCTGAGCAGATAGAAGACAGAATCAGCAAACTTGGACAGGTCAATTCATATTATTCAGTCTAAGTTATGTAAAGAAAAAATTAAAAATAAACGAAGTTTTAGGGATCCATAGGACAATATCAAGCACTCTAACAAACACACAATGAGAATCTCAGGAGAAAGGGAGAGATGGGGAGGGGGGATATTTGAATACATAATGGCCCAGAGCCATTTAGTAAAAGATGTATATGCCTAAGAAGCCCAACAAACTCCAAGTGCAGTCATCTCAAAAATATCCACATTGAGACATATCGTAAAGTACCAAAGCCAGAGAACTTGAAAGAAGACAAAAGCTTAGCACATGCAAGCAGCTTTCCATAAGATGCTGACTTCCTATAAACTGTGCATTCCAGAAGGCCATGAGATGACTTATTTAGAGGGTCGAAAGGGAACCAAAGATGTTAGGTAAAAACTCTGTGTCTGGCAAAACTACTCATCACAAATGAAAGAGAAATTAAAGTTTTAACAGTGCCACACTGGAGATTGTGTTGGTATTAGAAATACTCAACCTGCTCAATAAGAAAATACTGGGAGGTGGGGCTGTAGTTTAGTGGTAGAGTGGATGTGGCATGTGTTAGACCCTCTATTCCATCCCTACTACCAAAGGGAAGGGAAGTACTAAAGAGATTTCTTAGGGCTGAAGTAAACAAATACTAAGCAATCATTTGAATCCACATAAGGAAGTAAAGACCACCAGGAAGGATGACTACAGAAGTGAATATAAATGTCAAAAATGTAAGCTAGGCATGGTAGAATTATGAATTCAAGACTGGGCTACATAGTGAGATCCTGACTCAAAGAAAGAAAAAAGAAAAATGTATTTTCCTTTGCAATATTTTTGCTATATAATTTAAGAGACAGATGCCCCAAATAAGAATTAAAATCTGAGCCGGGCGGTGGTGGCGCACGCCTTTAATCCCAGCACTTGGGAAGCAGAGGCAGGCGGATCTCTGTAAGTTCAAGGCCAGCCTGGTCTACAAAATCTAGTTCCAGGACAGGCTCCAAACCCACAGAGAAACCCTGTCTCGAAAAATCAAAAAAAAAAAAAAAAAAGGAATTAAAATCTGCTTTGATATGTTTACAAGAAATAAAGACATGGTTTGTATGTCAATAGCAACACAAAGGAGGGGTGAGGAAATTGAGCCATATAGGAACAAAGT